AAAGTAATTGCTCAAAATGAGTTCAGGAGAGAGTGCTGAGAAGACCTTTAGATCCAAGCTAGAAATATTCCTGCTCCATCAGCTGATCAACCAGCATTTTGTTAACAACAACAGGTTTAAAAGCAACCATACCTCAACTTTCAAAGCTTATCCTGACAGAATCTAATGAACACAGAAGTAACCTGAAAAATAATTACATTTGGAATGTCCAGATTTTTATTTAAGATGAACAGCCTGCTTTGAAAGAATATTTAATTAGACAATTTTAAAAACACCTATTTAACTGGAATACTAGAGAGATGAGACCAACCAGACTTTCCATGTTAAAACAAAAAACAAACTGAAAGAAATAAGGAACCACCTGCGAGATCTCATTTTCCCAGCCTAGCATATTTCAGCTACACCAAACACTTTGCTCCTTCAGTGGTCTTGTAGCTGAAGCAGTCCTGTCTCAGATCAATAAAACATGCACACCACAAACACCAGAAAACTAGTAACTGAAAATTAATACTTCAAAAAGTGGTTTTGCAAGCAATCTGTAGTGAGAGGGGTCTATTCAGCCAGAGGCAAGAACAACATGTCCTTATGGTGGTTTTAGTGACCATGGCTGGAAGGCATAACTGTCAATAAATCCTCCAGCTTCTGTAATGTTGAATTCCAGACTCACCACAGTGTTCCCTGACACAAACACTCTCTTCTGTGTTCTTTGTATCAAATTACATGGCAACTCTGTCACAATCTATGTGAGGCAAGTGAAAGATCTGTTCCTCCAGCAACACTTCCACTACTTTTCAGTTTAACTGCATATCTTCCATTTCTTATATAGCAGAATAAGAAAAAAAGAATCCTTTTGTGTGTCAAAACAACCCTCTTCCCTTGTCTCCCCTCTCTTCCTCACATCTCTCTCATATGAAGATTTTTGTCCACATTCCTAAAAATGTCTTCATTCTAACAAGGTAGCTTACATTGTAGCTTACATAGGCCTCTACCTACTTTGTATAATCAAGTGATAAAGAGAGATCTTATTCCCCATGTGATTTTTAGGATTCCTGAAATACCTTTTTATTTTTTCTGGGGGAAGAAAACCTAACCTAGCATGTGGGGCAGAAGTTTTCATGTAAAAGGCTGCATAGGATGTCCAGGCCCTTTTGTATGTGCATATATGCCCTGATGCTCATGAGAAGCCATCTCTGCCCACTGCAAGTTTCCCTTAGACCCCCTGCAGCTGCCTCACTTCTCACTCCATTAGGAAGGAATCCCAATGTGAGGCCAGGGCACCCATCATACCTGCATGAAACACCCCACTACACCTTCTAACACAGAGCAGTGCACAACTGGTACTGCCTCTGCCAACACACATTTACAGCAAATTATTTACAATTCTTGCTATTTCTATCACCAAAATCGCTTTCTTCTCCAGCTGATAGCACCAAATATGTTGCTACCATGCAGTAACAGGAAAGCCATTTCCTCAAGCACTCTAACCAGAAATTATTTTTATATCAGAAAAATCTATTTATAATAAGCCATCAGGACTTTTGCACCTTCTTGCCCATTAACCCACTTCCACAAATAAAAAACCTCATTAGGAAATCAGTTACCCCTTGGAAATCTAATACCATTCCAATTTTAACTGTACTGGTAATGAAGAAAATGAGACTGATGCAAAAAGTAATTATCAAGAGATGCACTTCTTCAGCAAAACAAGTGGTCAGACTCAGTGAGGGGAACTGCACCTAATTCTGGGCACACTGTGGAACCTGTGCTCAGAAAGGAAAGTAATACAATGTAAGTAAACATTTGTGGTTTCTTTCTCAGCTAGCAGAGTCCCTAGACTTTATTACTGTAACAGAGCCTACATGGAATCCTGAAGGTCACACTGAAATTTCAGTGGGTGCAGTGTGTTTATATAATAATCTTTCACAATAGCAGGATATTGTAGATAATGGTTTCCCACTTGTTACTTAGTACAGTCCAAGACATTAACTTCAAACTACTAATTGCCCTATGTTTTATCTGCCATGTCAGATTTGTTTTTCTGGCCCACCTGCAATGTTACTTGGGATGCTCCAGCAAACAACCACCTGATTTACCGGGTGTGGGAAAAACCATCACAAAACCACACAGACTTTCACCTGCAAAATGACTCAATGAATCCATGGTGGGAGAGGAATTTTAAACAATGAGTAGGCTTTGCAAAAAAAAAAAAAAGTTTTATAAAGGTCACCTGCTTAAAAGATACCTTATAGTGGCTTCTGCATCACTGTTCTGAGATTCTTGGGAAGTTTGGGAACCTACATGCAGATGAGTTCTTTCCTTCTAATTCAGCTTTACATATCATACCACTGGAAAGCTATGACTCCACAAGTTCTTTCAAATGGCTGAAACTTTTTCCCCCAGGCATCCAGCATATAAACTGTAATTCTTGGTGCAGATTAAAAAATAAAAGGTAATTATCCTTCATATCACTACATATTACAGACTGGGAAAGGTCAATTTCCTAAGTAGCACGAAACAACCTTTTACAGCACCAGTTAGTTAAGAGATGGAGGCCTTAATTAAATGGGATATCAGTTTTTGCCATCACTAAGAAAGGTAGCCAGCATCAGTGTCACCCAAGACTTCTGAACCCCATACAAAGTAATTAAAGCATTATTTTAATATACACTCACTGAATTTCAACTTCTGTGATTCAACAAGATTGATAATGGCTCCACCCAGATTGCTGGTGAATCATTGACAACACCTCAGAAGTTTCCAAAAGCATTCCTGCTCATTTCTCTTCATCTGCTTTAGCATGAGCACTTTTATATAATAATACATGCCTCAAGATGCCCCTAAATTAAAGTCTGTGTTATAAATGTCTGCAATTTCCAGATTCATATGTTCATCTGTTCACTGGAATATTAGTTTTTTAAATTATCAGCACACAACAATCCCATCAGAAATTTCTAAAATATTTAGCTTTAAACTAAGCTAGTTTGGATACAAAGCTGACAAAAAACCCTCACAAAAACGAACAACAAAACACCAGAAACCATACAAGTTACTTCCCACTTATGTCAATGAAGGTTCCTGCTGCTCATAAGTGACTGACAAACTCAAGTCTCTGGTTGTCAAAACAGACTGCTCTGATGGTACCTGCCTTTCTAAATTTCCCTCCAAGCAGCCTGTCAGGCTGTCTGCTTTGACAGACCCTTTTCTAGGACAGGAAGGCAAAGCCATAAGCTATCACTGGGAAAGGAAAATGTGCCTGATAACGTCTGCTTCTATTTATGTTAGTGGGAACCATAATTTCATTATCAGCATTGTGTATTAATGCACTGAAGAAAGCCATGGAGCTCCTGGTGAAGCTTAGAAACTGGCAATAATGTACCAACTGCTCCTGAGCACAGGTTATTTATACAGCCATGAAGTCCCATATTAGCTTCATTGACTTCAAATGCAGGAATACAGACATTTATAGCTGACAAAATTAACCAGCTCCACATGCTCATAAGCCTGAAAGAAGTAAGAAAACATAAGTTTAGGAATACATTAACTTCTGCCTCAGAGTATTCCTGTATTATCTCACAATTCTATAACCAAATAATGTGAATAGAGTATAAATGCTGCATTTATCTTCCAGCAGAGTCATTAAATGACAGCACTGCTACACTAGTTACAATTATTAAAGCAGCTCAGCTGCAATCCAGGTTACTTTGAACCTGTTAACTATTTTTGCAAATCTTTAATTTTTTTCCCCCACTTCAGCCATTTTCAATATGGCAAAAAAGCACAGAAAACCGTAGCTTTGGCTGGAGGAACAAATGATTTGTCACGCATACTTGACTAAAATGTATAAAAATAACAGATACATTCCGGGCAAAAAGGCGTGCAGAGGTAAACAAAACATTCCCAATTCCTAGGGGGAAAAACCAAAACCTGCATCAGTTCCCTGCTTTAAAACAAGACAGACCTCACAATGGCTTCTGAAGACAAAACCTGACACCAGGACATTCCCAACCATCAAAGCAAATTAAATCCCAGCTACACCAACACCGCACCCCCGGCATGAAACCCTACCCACTCTGTGGGTGTAATCCAACAGCCAAAACAATGCCAGGGTGGAAAAACTAGTGCAAGTCAGGGAGATCCTGTGCGGTTTAAACCATCGTTTGTCCCCATGCACAGGGAGAGCTGCGGCCACCTCGCTCTTCCCTCAGGCACGACAGACAAAAGAGCCACAACCCAGGGCGGAGAGGTGTCCCGGGGACGGGTAGGGGGCTCTGTCATTATTTTCCCTCCGTCTCTGTTGTTCAACGCGACACAGGGACGAGTTTTCTCACGTAGAGGCAGGCAGAGCCCCTGGAAAAAACAACAGCAGGCAGAGGGGGCACACAAAAGCCGCCTGTCCCTCGGCCGCCGCAGCCTGAGGCGATGCCGCCTCTCCCCACCCCCAGCCGGACCCAGTCGCTCTCCGCCTCTCCCCCATCGGGCACAGCGAGCCGCGGTCCCTCCCCGCCTGCCCGGGGCGTTCGGAAATCGAGCCCGGCAGGAGCCTGAGGCCTGGCGAGGCACAAAGTCGCGGAATTGTTAGAAGCAGAAAGCACCTCTGGAGATCATCTCGTCTCAGCGCCCGCCTCTCCGCCTCCCTTCTCGGCAAGGCGGGCAGAGCTCTCCCGCCCTATTGTTCCCCGCACCCCGCGGCGGAGGCAGCGCACTCACCACGCGGGCCGGGCTTCCTGCAGCGCCCACCGGCCCCCTCAGCTCCGGCACACCGGGGCTGCCACAGCGCCCTGCTGCTGCTCCTCCAGTAGTACACGCGGGCCCCGGGGCAGCGCCGCCATCGCCCGCCGCCGCCCCGCTGCCACTCCGGCAGCGGCCATCTTGTGCGTCGACTGCTCCTCTCACCGCCCACCTCCCTCCTTCCTTCCCTCCCTCCCTCTCCGCACCACCCGCCCCTTCCTGCGCCCGCCTTCCCCCGCAACCGGGACGCGACGGGACGGAACGGGACGGGATGGGGAGAAATAGCCGAGTCACGGCCTAGGGCCCGTGAGGGCAGGGCGGGGGAACTACCGCCCGTTTCGGGCAGGGTACCTCGCGCTCTCTCAGGGACGGTCTCCAATGTCAGATGCCTTCCTCCTTTCAGGTGGGGTCTTTTTCCCTCCTCCTCACCTCCTCTTGTCATAGCGGGCTCGGAGGTGGAGGTCGAGGCTTTTCACACACGGAGTGGCTCCTGGGGAGCGCTCTCTGTTTTGGGAGCTTGCTGAGGGCCCCCGCCCGCCATTTTCTCTCCCTCAGGAACCTCTGTTGGCGGACCCTGCGGTTGTCTCATGCATCACACCTTATTGCTTCAAGCCGGTTACTTTCCTTACTTCAGGGAAAAAGAACACAAATTAAGTTCCTTCTTACGTGGCCGTGCAGAGCAAAACTTTCGGGTTTTGCTCGCCAGTTCCAAGTGAAGGCGTAGAGATGGACTCCGTGCTGGAGAAGGTCCCCCGTAGCTTTGGTGCTGCAGGACACAAATCATCCTTAGCTTTAACCAACACCGCAGGTAAGATGTTTGGGGACCCTCCAAGCTTTCCTGTATCACAGTCACAACTAGTTGGGATACAGAAGAAATTTTAAAACGCAGTTATAGAATGTCTTGTAGTCGCTTGACTTGCAGCATTTACTAAACACGCACTGACTGTCTGACAGTTTTAAATTGTTACAAGAGCGAATTACTTAGCATCAGGATATTTCAAGGTAACATCCACTTGATGCCTGTTTATGAGAACATGAATATGGTGTAAACTACTAAGGAAGCTATGTTTACATTAAAGACGAAAAATAGTATTCAGTGGTCCCATTTTATTGCCCATCTATTTTATCATGTCTATGCCCAGCTAGAGGCTCTGCGGGATCAATCCTGCTGGATTCCATTGTGCAGGATGCTGTGCAGGAAATCACTGCTTTTCTCTTTTCCTTTCATAACGCTGTGAGGAGCACCCAGTGTATTATTGTCAGTCCAACTTCGGAAGTGCAGCATTGCATGACCTGGAAATAAAATATAAATAGGACATTGTCAAGTCAGAAGTAGCCATGCCCAGAGCCAGGGACTCGAGAGAGCAGGCCTGCAAAAGAAAGCTGGCTTGTGACGTGAAGACAGAAATTCCTACACACAAGGAAAAACTACATAGGGCAAGGTTATTCTTCAGCTTCTGTTTCTGACTCTTGTACTGACCATAGACAGATTTTTATTAACTTTACAAGAAATGTGGTGCTAGTTACTAAAAGTGTTATTTCTATCTGTTTTACTAAAGAAATAATCCCTATTATTTAGCTTTTCCACCAAAACAACCTTAATACTTATCAAGGATCAGTGTTTAAATAAAATAGTATTAAGAAAAGCTGTTAATTTCTGAAAATGAAGTTTTCTAGCCACAGTCACAGACATTGAGATCTTATGAACACAGAAGATTAGGATATTTACAAAGAGCACTTTTGACTTAGCAAGAGCTTTACTATGAGCTAGAAAATAAGTGTAAATTGGAAATGTCCAAGGCCAGACTGGACAGGGCTTAGAGCCACCTGGTCTAGTGGCAGTTGTCCCTGCCTGTGGTAGGGTTTGGAACAAGATGACCTTTAAGGTGCTTCCAACCAGTCTGATATTCTGTACCACAGAAACTTCTAAATCAATAATTGCCATCTTTTGCAGACTCCTCGTTAAATGTTACAGTAGAAAAGTGAACCTTGTTGGAGTTGTCAGTCTCCTGATTAGAAGCAGAAGATGACATTAGGAATAGCAAAAGTGGTAGGTGTTCTTTGCAATCTTGGTTTAATGTCACAGAAGCTAGAAATGGTCAGGCCCTGAATCCTGTTACTTCCTAGTTTCTAGCAAGTGATTTGTTCAGTGTTCTGATGTTCTGTTCAGTCTGGGTTTTAATATTCCAGTCTGGGGACTTCTACTACTTTGTCTTTTGGTTCCTGTATTGTGGAAAGGCTTCATTTTTCATGTAGTTTATGTTTTCCCTCAACATTTAAGTGCATTGCCAGTAGGAACATGCTAACAACAATTTTAGCACAGCATAGGTTACCACAGTAATACATGGTTGAAATGTAAAGAAATGAAATCACCTATTGTTCTTATTATGTAACACTGCACAGATGAGCACTTGAATTCTTTAGACTTCCATCAGAGTCAGGCTTTTCTGATGTTTATTCTTTGTTATGTTTTCTGAAGTTCAGGAATTTGTAGATGAGCTTGTTCTCTTGCTGGGATCTGGTGCCACTAAATAACTTAGGTTATTTTTAGTGTCTGCCTCCCCCAGTTACACAGCATTTCTTCCTGTGTGATACACTGCTTTTAGCATTTGAAACACAAAGTGTTATTTGTCTTTAGGATTACTGTTTTCAAATATCATTTCAGCTTATCATTAAATCAGCTATAATTCATCTCCACTTATTTATATTGTTCTTTTATGTTCTTAAAAGCCCCCAGGAATTAGTTTTTATTCTACCACATGTAGTCTCAATTTCCCATCCTTTCGCTCCTTTTTCCCATCCAAAAGGGGATAATGTGTGGGCATGGTTCTAAAATCTGACATTTTTGGCCACACTAGTAATGTTCCTCAAATTATACATTAAAAATGACTCCTCATTTTAGCCTCTATGACTGAGGGAAATACCTAAAATACCAATCTAACTGTCAAATGGTGTCATCTCACCATTCAATTTTTATGTTACTCCTTCCATATAAAACTGCTCTAGATCTGTGGTACCAGGATAGCTGTCTTTAAAAAAAGAAATGTGTATTTTTTAAATGTCTTGGCAGTGTTTCAGTTTGCTATTTTAGTTAGCAATGTGACTTGTAAAGCTGATCAAGGAAAAATTCTCATTTTGAAACCTGTGATATCAGAATGGAAGGCAAGAATGAAATACTTTTCCAGGTGACTGCAAGCATGTTCTTGTTATTTCACACACTGAAAATTCTAAACCACAGATAATAAAAAAGAAAATCCTTAGCACTTGTATATGCTTGACCATCATGTTAAAAAAAATTGACCATCACATTAAGAAACCTAAATTCCTGCACTTTTATAAAATTCCACTGACAAAAGCAGAAGACTGTATCCATCCAACAAGCATTGAAAAAAAATCCAATGTTCATTAAAGAGCATGCTGAGTGTCATCCAAGCCCATGGGATACAGATGCAACTCTTGGAGTTTTATATGCTTATTTTAAATAATAAAACAATGTTAGCAAAATACAGCCTTACACTGTGGCCATGCTCAGTGTCTCCAACATCTCACACAAGGCTTCCATTTCCCATGTATAAAAGAAACCTAGAGGATCTAAAGAAATGTGAAGTCCATATGTGTAAAATGAGTGCTCCTCCTTGAAAGCTTCTCTCCCAAGCATTCATAAATTCACAATTTGCACAAATAAATAATACTGTATAACCCACCAAACATCAGATTTGTTTAAAAATTTCTTGAAAGTTCTTTGCTGCTGTTCATAATAAATTTGTAGAATATCAATACAATTATCAATGTTTGTGTTTTCAGCCTACTTGGAATACAAAGGTCTATGTAAATATACCCCCTGATTGCAGCTGCTGTGGAAAAAGAAGAAAGTATAAGGAAGGTAAGAAACTTGGTTTTGATGATTTCTCATTAGAGGTTTCACTTCCTTAAGCATCCCACCTCATCATCCTCCTTGTCCCACTGGTGTTGTGGGATGCAGAATACTGATTCAGGAGTACCAGATTCTCCTCCTTATTGCCTTTTTTGCTTACTTGCCATTGGCTGCTTTGCTCCAATCCCAGACCTTCCAGTGTCATTCAGCACATCTCCTCTCTTTTGGGGATAAAAATTTTGAAGCAACAGAAAGTAGAAGAATTTGCAGCAGAGCAAGTCTAGTTGCACTAGGCAGAGCAAGGCAGAGCCAGTACACACCACATCCTTGTCACTCCAGTGCCCTCTGCTGCAGTAAGCATCTCCTTGGCTTCTGAGTCCCCTAGGCAGGGGCAGGAGCCTCTGCCAAGTGCCGTGTGCTGCCACCTCTTTATCTTGCACTTGACTTCCTTGTAGTATTCCTTTTCTATTCTGTCTCAACAGAACAGCAGAAGTATGACTCCTTATTTCCTTTCTTTGCTCCAGCAGTACTTAGGTTGAAATTTGTTCTTTTGCTTCATAGCATTGCTGCACCACATTTTACATCAGCCTCTTAATGAGCTTAGGAGGGTAACATATATGTTGGGATGATAAACAATTAAGGCAATTATATTTTATAAGAATTCCAGTGTGTGTGTGTGTGTAAAGCTGAAAACCACCTAAATTAACAATGTAATTTTTGTTCTTTTCTGGCAGGTTTACTCATGTACTATAAAACTGGGAGGAAATAAGAGACAGGTAAGGCTTAAAAGAAGTTGCCATCTTTTTATTGTTTATAAAAGATTTTTCTCAAGCTTTCTTGAAGGCTTTTATAATCTGACATGTCATAATGATGTTCCCTACTCTTCTTTGAGTCTAGCAGGTGAAAGAAGCAGCATATACAAAAGAAGAAAAAGGGAAATCACTGAAGGAAATGCATAAGTTGAGTGAAAGTTAGTAATCCTGGAACTGGCTCTTATTACCATACAGAAAGAGATAGTATTTGTGGTTTGGTGAGTGAGCTATTTTTGATATTGTTTTCCTACATAAGCTACTGATATAATTGCTAAAGAAAAAAACAGTGAAAAGATCAGAACATCCTGTGAGCACAGATAGAGCTTACATTGTGTATACATTTTGGAAATAAAACTCATTTATTTTTAGCAAGTGTCATCAATTTCTCAGAGATGAATCGATTCTTTTTATATGCTCATTGAGGCACATGGAATGCACAAGTCCTAGCCTGTTAACAAATGCCAGCTATTTTGAGAAGCACACTTTCTCTGCTGTTAGGGAAACTTCTTGTTCTTGTACATAAGGCCACAGTAGCTCCAGTCTGTTTCTCCCCAGTGTTTTTGTGGCTTTGCTAGGCAGACATGTGTTACCTGCATGAAAAATATGAGCCATAAAATAACTTACCTTCCTTCTGAAGTCCTTAGTCATTGCAACTTGAATGTACTTTGACTTCAGCAATTTGATATCAGGAGGTTGTTTATGTGGCAGTTTGTTACAGACTCTCCCAGGCAGCTGTTTTTCTCATCATTGTTTCCATTAACATAGTGCTCTGGGAAAAGAAAAAAGGCAAGAAAAGGAGTGTCCTGTATTTTCATGCACAAACCCCACCTTCTCCTTGGACTTCCTTCCACAGGAAGCACATAGGCATGTATGCACTTATTTGCATAATTAATAGACAAGATAAAATTGTTTCTACCCTACATTGATGAGTCAAACACTGAAAAGCAGTTGAGGGCAGAGTCATTCACTGATCTCTCAGGTGTAGCTGCTCAATCTCACAAGGTTTGGGAGACAGGCTGAAACCAGCTGTTCTGGGTTTGCATGGCCTGGTTTTTGGTAGCATGGGGGGCTATAGGGGGGGCTTCTGGGAGAAGCTGCTGGAAGCTTCCTCCATGTCTGGCAAAACCAATCCCTGGTAGCTCCAAAGATAGAGATGATGCTGGCCAAGGCTGGGCCAGTTCAAAATGGTGGTGATGCCTCTGTGATAGCAGATTTAAGAATAAAGAAAAGCAAGTTGTGCAGTTGTAATTGTGGCCAGAGAAAGGCGAGAGTATGTGAGAGGAGCAACAGATATCAAGGGGGAGTCAAGGAGGAGAGGCAGGAAGCATTCCAGGAGTTGGAACTGAGATTCCTCTGCAGCCTGTGGAGAAGACCATGGTGAGGCTGCTGTGCCCCTGGAGGCCATGGAGGTCCACAGGGATGCAGCATTCCACCCACAGGCCATGGAGGTCCACAGGGATGCAGCATTCCACCTGCTGCCCATGGAGATCCATGGGGATGCAGCATTCCACCTGCTGCCCATGGAGATCCATGGGGATGCAGCATTCCACCTGCTGCCCGTGAAGGTCCACGGGGATGCAGCATTCTACCTGTTGCCCATGGAGGTACACGGGGATGCAGCATTCCACCTGCTGCCCATGGAGGTCCACAGGGATGCAGCATTCCACCTGCTGCCCATGGAGATCCATGGGGATGCAGCATTCCACCTGCTGCCCATGAAGGTCCACAGGGATGCAGCATTCCACCTGTTGCCCATGGAGGTTCACAGGGATGCAGCATTCCACCTGCTGCCCATGGAGGTCCACGGGGATGCAGCATTCCACCTGCTGCCCATGGAGGTCCACAGGGATGCAGCATTCCACCTACAGGCCATGGAGGAGCCCCATGCCTGAGAGGAGACTGTGACCCTGTGCAGGTGGAATGCTGCATCCCTGTGGACCTCCATGGGCAGCAGGTGGAATGCTGCATCCCTGTGGACCTCCATGGGCAGCAGGTGGAACTGTGACCCTGTGGGAGGCTTAGCAAGCACTGAAAACATTAGTGTGTTACCAGCATTTTTCTCTCCATCCAAAACACAGCACTGCACCAGCTACCAAGGAGAAAATGAACTGTATCCCTGCCTAGCCAGGATCAGCTTCCTGTCCAGCTCTGCATTCATGTGACCCTCTCCTAATATACAAATAACTGCCTTTAAGCCAAAACACACATTATGAAAAAATGGTTCTATAAATTTTGCAAAAAAAGTAAAAAATTTGCCACAAGTTTGATCAGAAAAGATTCATAATACAACAGAAAACACTAGTTTTGAAATGTTCTACATCTGCATTAAACAGCCTTTTTAAAAAACTAAGCATTTTTCACTTACACAGTAGAGTAACAAATTTTGTTAAAATTTGATCTTGACATCCATCCTTTTCCTGTCTGTTGACAAATCCAGAAAGATTGCTTGTAATGTAAGATTGCTAATTTCTGAAACAATTGCTACTAAAATTTGTTGATAATTGCAAAAATAATAATCTTCTTCAGCAAAATTCCTTTTCCTTTTGTGCCCAAGTGCAGCAGTAAGAAGAGAATGAAATGACTTCAGTACAAATTTAAGTTGACACCTAATATCAAATTGCAAAATTCTTCAAGGATGACAAGGTGCAGCAGGAATCATCAGGGTACCACTTAAAAAGAGAGACAAATATTTTCAACAGGTTGAAATGGAGTTTCAAATGTAATTTTAAAAGCAGAAATGTCTTCCTCTGTAAGAGCCTCTCTGTCTCCTTGGACAATAATGCTGCAGTGAATTACTAAAGTAAGAAATTCTCCCAAGGGTTTATGTTCTCATTAACCTGATCAATTTTGTGCAAAACACAGATATGGATCTCAGGTTTTTCTAAAACCGAGCTTACCTTTCCAGCCACAGCAATGACTTGAGGGATGCTTCCAGCAGTGAAGAGCACACTCTGTTTTACATCTTCAGCCAAAATTTTATCCTGTTTATAGAAATATATATGCAATATATACAAAGCACCACAGGTAACAGAATGTTTTGTATCTTTTTCCTGTCTTTTTCTTATCTGAGTCTTTTAGGAAGAAACTGGAAGTTTCTAAACAAACAGACGTACAGTGACAGTGAATAATTCAAGCAGTGAGTATTGTTGCAATGGCCTGTTACTATCCATACCAAAACAATCAGTTCACAGCTCACATGCTGCCTGCAGGACACCCAGTGAACTCCATTCCCCAGGTATTTCCTTTGGTTTGTGGGACACAGCAACACTGTCATCAACAATAATCTTCCATACACCTTCTTCCTTATATTGCTTCTCCAAGTCAAAAAAAAAGCAGTGCTTTAAAGACTTATATTGAACATACTCCAGAAGAGGAACACCTTATATCCAAGAATATTAACTCCCCAAAATAATAGTGTCCCTTCTTTCTACCTTGAATTTAGAATGCATATACTCAAGTCACAAGGCTGATGACCTCCATAGTCTAATCATCTTGTCCCATAATAAAATACCACAGAAAAAAGTTTGCCAAAATAAAAATGGGAATATTTATTATCTTTTCTACTAAAGCAATGCAGTTCTTTTGAGATTATACATTGGTCTTTGCAAATGTTTCTACAGCTAAATTAATACTTTTCCATTTTGTAAAAAAATTAGACACATACTTCATAAAAACAGACACAGGCTATGTCACCGAACAACTGGAAGGATTGTAACTGTTAGTAGGGATGAGCAAAGAAAGCTCATGCTTATACTTAAACCTCTGGCATTTGTATCATTATCATGTTCAAGTGGGACAGAATGGGGACATTTTCCTTGCACATTTCTGGGTCCACTTCCCAAGCTTTCAGACAGACTGTTAAATACTGAATGTGACCAGGAGAACCTAAACATTGCTCAGCAGTACTACATGCACAAGATGCAGGGGAAGGAGAGTCAGACCCATGCAAACAGTACAAGACAAACCATTACAACTGGCAAACGTGCACTGGACAAAAATTGAAGTTTATGAAAAGCTTTATTTGTTGTCATGAAAATAGTATCAGAAGCAAGTAACTGTATGTGTTTTGCAAAGTCATCTTCATTTGGCCTCCTGAGCTTTCTTGGCATTCTGTTTTTCTTTTGCCTAGAAAACAAGGGGAGATGATGTCAAGCTTTAACAAGATGAAAATCATTCTGGAGTGTTGAATGACTACACATTACATTTCTGAATATTAAAAATATGCTGGAAAAAGAAAAATTTAAATGTTAATTTGGACCCTTCAGAAGCATCCTACTACTATTTTACTAGGTTAGTGTATCAAGCCTTTTAAGAACAAACATAGGTTTAAATAAATTATGCAAAAGAAATGGATTAGGTAACTTATGTAGGGGAAAAGCACAATTTTAAAAGCATAATTTAAACCTTCATTTTTCATACCTCCATACCAATTTCATTTAACACAGAAAAAACTCTTCCTAATGGAAACATTTTATGTCACAAGATGACACCACACTCAGACATACAGATGATCACAACTGAACTCTGAAATGCACCAAGATCTTAGTGGTTTAGATCTTTCAAATAAGTGGAAAAAACCCCCACAAAAGCTCCTGTCAAAATATTTGCAGATAGATTCTCCTAACTTATATCAATCATAAATAATTCAAACTGGTAAGGAACTGGAACTTTTTTCCTTATGAATTTACTTAAGAAACAGATTGGGCAAGAAGAGGGGACAACTCAGAAGCAATATTGGCCGACAGCTTTCTGTCAAAATATTAGTTAATTCTGAATCAGTGGCTTGTTGCCACTTATTGAAGTGAACAGAACAGCTGAATCTAATTCAGTGATTTAGAATTAAGATCTGTTACCACCAATTCACTGGTAATTTACTTGTGAAAGCAGCTTGATGGGCATCATCAACGACTTCTGTTAACATCAAACTGGATTAAAACTTCACAAGTCACTCTCTTAAAAACTACCAGCAAATGTACCTTCCTAAATAAATTCAGCTAAAGAATGTACTCATTAAATCACACACAGCTCTTTTTTCATTATACTAATTCAGAGATCCTTTCTCAGTGAGTATAAAATCAGGGATCCTGCCTCTGGCACTCAAGCATAAGTGCACACCAGCACAGAGCTGAGTATAATTCAAGTACATGACCAGTTTAATAACCCTGCCAAAATGGCAGAAACACTTATTTATTCAAGTTTTAATACAAACCTTAGCAGTAAGTCAATGTTAACAACCAGATACCTTAGAAAGGGGAAGCCCAAGGCAGTAAATGAGCATATGAGCAGGGAAAAGGGAGGGACTGAATTCCCAGCATTGTGCCATGGCTGCCACAGGAATGCAGGGAGCTGTCCCTGGCCAAAGAACTTG